AGCCAAAATTCCGAAATGTGGAAAGTCACATAAGAGTTGGTTGATTGTTTCCTCCTCCTCCTCCTCATCGTGCTTGCAATATCGGCAGCATCTTCTATAGGAAGTCTCTTATTTCTTCGCATGTCGTCCTGCCTGTACTCCTATTTCTTTGGACATGTGCCCTCTTTTTAAGCAGCAAATATCTCGTGAAATCTCTTCTTATCCCAGTTTAGCCTTAACATGGCAAAACAGACAGTGGGTTTATATATATATATGTATATATATTTTTTTTTTTTTGCATTTGGCACTTCGATTAATTATGAGAGATTTCTCGGAGTGCCAAATGGAACAATTTTGCTTGTTTACGTATTCCCCAAGAAAGAGAAACGAGCTTCGTAGCTGAATAAAATTTTCTGCAAAAAATCGCCGTCCATTCCTTGCTGATTAAGCACCCAATGATGCATGTACGGCGTTGTGAATAGTCAAGTGGCTTCATTTCTTGTGTGAGCTGGACTTTATATGGATGCAGGTGTAGGCCAAACTCAAAATACATCATAATGAGCCGTAAAAAAGTGCCAGCTCTTGAGAAATCCAGGAATAGACTTATTCGGGTCTTCAGCTACACTTTCACTAAGAGTGGCGATAATTGAGGTGAAACGATCAAGACTATGATGCACGAGCCTTACAATATTTGCAACCGATTCAGTCTCTCCAAATGTCTGTAAAACTGGACCATTATGTGCACCATAATGTCCACTTAAAGCACGAAACTTGGCCATATTGGTATACCGATTTTTTTTAGGAGGTTTTAAGAATCTTAATAAGCGCCAGACTTTTAACTGAAACAAAACAAGTTTGGTTCGCCAATTTCATAAGTTGGATAGATGTCAAAATATATATCTGTACTTTTGAAACCAAGAAATGTATAACCCTGTACTATTGAAGTAGTTTATTGCTACTAACATATACTAAAATGATCAGGCCGGTTCCTTTCACATTGCTTATCGTCCTGTGGCCTTTAAAATATGTCGTTAAATAATCATTAAAATTGGCAAAAAATATATGTAGGTCCCCATAAATACACATGTATGTATATATGTGTGTGTGTGTGCATGCATCGACATTTGCGGAAATTCAATCAACAAATTCTAACTCTCAATTCCCCAATATACATGTGTACATATGTATATACATACATACATATGTAATATGTAATAGATAATACAAACAATAAATAAAGTTTTCAACTTTATGCAACCACTTCTACAATGTAGCTACATATGTATTGTATGTGCATATAATATGTATATATGTATGTATTTGCATTCAATTAAATTGTCGATGAAACTTCCTCCCCCTCGCACACGCTCTAAACGATTGCCAGCTAAGCGGCGAGGCCTCTACCGCGGCTTAAACAAAGGCAGACTCGAAAGTGAACCTCGTTGCCTTAAAAAGAATTACAATTAAATACTTTAGTACATAACAATATGCACATGTACTCGTACATATGTATTTGTATCTATAAATATGTATGTATGTATGTGAATTCATAATCTTTAACCATTGTCCCAATGCAAGTCTAATCTAGGAATAAAGTGAGGCGCTTGCAAGTGGCAACTAAGCATAAAAATATATACACATACATACATACAATACATAAATACAAACAAAAGTATATACATACATATACAATATATTTACGTGCATTTATAATATAATAAACTTGTATAGAAACAAGTTTTCAAACTTGACGAGCGTAGTACTTACTACTATTATAAGCCATGAATTACAAAAACAATAACAAGAAAATATGTATTGTGAGCATGAAAGCAGAGCAGGAAAGCAACAACAAACAGAGCATAAACAAGATCAGCTGTAATTAAATTTGTATGTGTAAAATATGTACATGTATGTATGTATGTATGTATGTGTGGATGTATGCATGTACGCCTCTGATCCAGCAATCAAGGTTTTCCAAAGTATCCACAAGATAGGCGAGACTTTTGGTTTTTTTTTAACAAGAATTACTAAACAAACATGAAACAGCCTGAACGTTGATAGCGGAGAGGAAAAGCCAACTGAGTGCAAATTGAATTGAGTGCAATGAATTAACCCATAAATAAACACTCAGAAACTTATTTCACTCTTCATTCCAAAGAGCTCACACTAGGCTCATTACAAAACGTATGTGCAGAGCTGCCGGATGTGAAATTCTACTGAATTTGTATGAGACCCTAATTATCAATAGAGCCGTATTAATAGTATATGTCACGCCGAAGTTAAAACCTAAGGAGCTGTTTTAAAATCTTACAGAATCCGTTTTGCAACGATTCATGTTTTTGATTCGGAATCAAAAAGGTGTTCTGCAATCCTAGCGCAATTGAGATATTCGAACAAGAAGTAAATCGGATACGAAATGTAAAAATTAAATTGTTTTGTTGCTTAAATCTGTTCATGAGCTGATCAACAGTAACAATTGGGTAATCGAGTTCGTTAACGCCAAAAGGTTAATTAAATTTTGAATAGAAGGTCACAATTTTCACATTTAGCTTGAAGCGGTAGTTGGAAATTCGTGCTGGGAAATAATATTATATATAATAAACTAATATAAGAGAGAAAAAAGGATGAACAACAAAAAAAGATCAAAAATAACTTCATGAAAATTTGATTGAAGAAAATCAAAGATTCTATTAAAAATACAAAGTACTTGCGAATAGAACTATCTCACAGTCTACATTGATTAATTGGAAATTAGAACTTTCGAAGGCTTACACTTATTTTTAATGCAATGATTTTAATAATGATTTTCAATTCCCTTAATTTCCTGGCAAGCGCTTCGATCAAGCGAGACAATAACGATAATATTAATTGTTAAAGATAATCATTTTAGTAGGCCTAAGAAGATGATGAAGATTAAGGAATTTTATAAGTTACACTTGAATTAATCATTAACAAATTTTTTTGCTCGAAGCCTCATTACTCTTTAGTTTAAGAACAAATTTCAAAACATGCAAATTATCTAAATTTCTTAAAGCTTTATAAAATAAAAACCTGAAAAAATTATATCGCCAATTATCCGCCAACTGAGATTTCTTTCACCCTAATTTCCCAAAAAATCTAAAAACGGTGCACCGTACTCGTGTATTCGTTTCATTTTTAACAATTCTATAATTTATAAAACACAAAACTCAAAGAAATGTAGGTAAATTTCTATTTTCTATAGAAATGGATCTCAAACTAATGGGCATCATTGAGTAAAGTGACATGAATGCACCTCAATGTGCAAAGATTTTTCGTAATGTCATCCGAACATACACGGTGTGTCCCAAAAATTACCGAACTTTTTGGATATAACATAAAATACACATTATGTTATCTTTGAAAGTTATTATTTATTCAAAATAGGTTCCATTTGACTCAACACAACGTTTGGAACGATCAACCAGCGCATGCATAGATTTTTTTATGTCATTTATAGAAATGTTCTTCAGTTCCTCGGTTACGGCTGCTTGAATGGCTGGGATATCATCATAAAATGCTCCATTCATCTTGGTTTTCAGTCTTGAAATTAAAAAATAGTCGCATGGTGATAGATCAGGCGAATACGGAGGACGGTCGATGAGAAAAATCCCTTTTTTCATTAAAAATTCAAGCGATTAAAAAATCCTCATTTAATTCATGTGGAAAAAATCGCGCACAGATCTCTCTTTTCCCCAAATCTTCAGTTATAAATCTCCAAAAGGTGTTTTTACTCGTATTCATTTCCTCAGCCAACATTCTCGTAGTAAAATTTGCATCGATACCAATGATTTCGCGGACTTTTTCCACTAGTTCAGCACGATTACTAGTTTCTGGACGTCCTGCTCAAGGTCGTCATTTAAATCCTTACGACCATTTTTAAATCGTGTAAACCACGTATTAACTTGCGTACGACTCATACAATCATCACAAAAAACTTCTTTCATTAATTTTTTTTTTTTTCAAGTTTGACACAAAATTTTATGTTTGCTCTTTGTTCCCTTTTGTTTTTGAACCATTAGCACACTTTTGGTTTTATTGAAATGGCTGTCACTTTTACATTTGTCATCCGACTTACATGATGTTAGATGCGTTTGAGTGGATCATTGTATCATTTTTAAGGTTGCAAATTTTCAATAGATGGCGCTATATGTTGTATGATTTAAATATAAAGTTCGGTTATTTTTAGGACACACCGTGTAGCCAAAATTCATGTCAAGTATTATTAGATATTGACATTTCTTCCTACCGATCTCTAGTAACGAACTTCTTGTAAGAACTCTAATGGTTGTGTAGCTGGAAGAAAAGTTGGAATGAGCATTTCTTTAATTTTTTCAATATCGTATTTTTATTAGTGATTTCCATTATTTTATCGACATTATCGACAATTGGTCTTCCACACCGTGGAGTAGCTTTTATAGCAAAATAACGTGAGCTAAATCGATGAAACCAAAATTGTTCATGATTGATTGTTACAGTATCAGCACATTACACTTTTAGCTTTTTCATCATCCTGACTTACGTTTTTGGTTTTATGAAGAAAAATTTTAGAATAAAGGGCATTTTCTTTTCCTGACGTTCATCTTTGTAATGCGCTTAATACATCTGCCATTATCTTTTATTGTACAAAATATCATCTTTTCAATGCCAATCGCATACAAATAACGAGAGTTGCAGATCCCTAGAACGATCTATTGCAAAAATAATGGATAACTTGTTACTATCAAACGAAATTACAGTCCCGTATGTTTTTTCATAGAAAAAATAAATACCGACAAATTGAAGAGTGGGAAAAATAATTTCCAATAGAGATGGCAGCCTTCAAAGAAACAAGAGAGCACAAACAAAATACTCAATTTCATTATCATACTGAGTAGCTCTCATCATCGACTCTTCGACAAGCGTACTCAACTCAACTAAGTCAACTCTTCGTTGAGCACAAGAGCGCACATCACTTGTGGAGCCGGAAATTAAAGTAAACGAACTTTTTGGTGTGGCGATCGTCAACATCTTCAGATACAAAACGATTGCCGTGGTTAGCGGTTCAATTTAATTGCAGCAACGGTTACGTGCGCGCGCGGCTTAGTGGTAGTGACTTCATACATTTGTGCATAAATATATATTTTCAGTGAGAAAATAGATAAAATATCTGCGCGGTGGAGACACGCACTAGCAGTGAGTGGGCAAAGAATACCAAGAAATACATAAATAAATGAATGGCAAAGAATTAAGCAAATTTACTAGTGCTCGTTGGCCGAATAATAACAAAAGAATCAATTAGCGTAAATTAGAGCGAGAAGAAAAATATAAAAAAGATAAAAAATTATTAAATATACAAAACTAAGCGAGCGGAAATTGAAGTTAGTAGTGCAAGAAGTTTTCGAGGAAATGTTAGAAATAATAAAATTGTGACAAAGTGTAAGGAATGTGTCAGAGCAGTGAAAGCAAATTAAATTATCTAGGCAAGAAAATTGTGAAATAAAAATGCGTACATATGTACATATCTGTATGTATGTATAAATGGTAATAAAGCTTCTTAAGCGAGTCTATGTGCAGTAAAGTTATTTTTGTTTTTAAATGCGTGTATGTGCATGCATATTTCTCAAAATTTTTCGAAATTTTGGTATAATTGAAAAATATATTAAAATAAAGGCAGCAGATTAATGCTGGTGAAAATTTGTGGATAATAAAAATATTCAACTCATTTAAAATAAAAAAAAATTTGTGTCAAATAACGATAAAAAAAATTAAAAAAAAATCACGCAATATTTTTTATATTTTAATTTAAAAATAAGCGGGCAAGAAGCATGCAGAAAACAACAAAGCAACGCAGGGCTTAAAAATATGAGAGCCCAGTTAAATAGTAAAATAAAAATAAATTATTAAATATAAATAAAAAATATGCAATAACATCTTAAACATTAACGACGGCTTGCGTTGCAGAATGAAATCGTAAAAAGTACTAAAAAAAAAAAAACAAAGCGGAAACTAAAGCTGAAAGTGTTTGTTTTTTTAATACAAATCAACTAACCAACACCTTTTTACCAAAAAAAAAAATGCCTCAAAAACACACTGCAACATCACACCACAGCGACTGCTTGCGCATCGGCGACGCTGCAACGCCTTCACACACCATTAACATCACCAACTCCACCGTCACCTCAACATCCGTCCGCGCAACGACAGGTGAGGCAACTGCAAGCATGCAACACCAACACGCTGATTTGCCAACAACTCGCCATCCAATATTTAACTGCAAAACTTCCTCGCTTCTGCTATACTCAACACTGTTCGGCCTGCTCGCGCTCGTCAACTGCGTACCGGCGCCGACGTTAACTTCACAAGCTCTAAAGGCGCACAACTTTCCACCGCTACCACCACTCAAGGCTTCGTCAGAGCATGTAGCTGTTGCTGTTGCTGGCGAGGATAACAGCTTCTCGTCCTTGCACGAGTCAGGTGACGACACCGATGATTACTATGATGACAATGCGGCGGAGAATTATGTTTCATCTAGTGGCGGAAATGTTGACGCCGTAAATGGTGGTAGTGGTAGTGGGCGTCAACGTCGTCATCAGGAACAAGTGGCGCCGACAACAGCTCGCTTTGGTTATGACGGCAATAAAGTTAAGCCACAATTATTTTATAAGCAACAACAAAAGCTCGCTTCTTCAAAGCCCATTGCTGCGAGCGCGGCCGCACGTGTAAATAACGATTTGTCAGTATGGAGCTTGATGGACAATGAGAAACGCACAGATATTTGTGATGTCTGTACTTGTGACAAAACCAATCGACATATAACGGTCGAATGTGATTATAATCAACGAAATTTGAAGGTGAGTGACTATTTTTTCGAAGTTCTCCTTTAGTAGAAAATTTGTTAAAATTATAGGGTTTTAAGATAAAAAAAATAGTAGCGTCTCAGCTCTTTTTACGAGCGCACAACCCAAAGCTATGAGGTTTTGTCAAGAAAGTGGGATGTGGAATTAAATTAAGGTTATATAAATATACAAAATAAATTCGGCTCAAGAAAGGTAAAAGAACTTTGAGTGAAAATCAAATTTGAAAATTTCCTTATAGGCTCTAGGTCAGTTTCGTACCTCCGCCAAAAAATGAAATTTATTACCCCGTATGATCACCTACCTAATTAGTACACACTTACATACGTACATATGTATATATACAAACATATGTATGTGCATATTTGCATTTAATTATAAATTTTCTTGGAATTAAATTACGAACAAACGTTAATTATCATTTGATAATTATATTTCCAGTGGCGATATGTAAATGTTTGTATGCACGTACATATGTGCATACGAGTATGTATATTTTAGCTGATCAGCGCTGACTAATCAGTGACAGGTTTTTACTTACTACTATTGTCTGGCTGTTTGGAACGATTAATCAGTGCAAAAGTCTATATAAATTCGTTATTTTATTTATTTACACGCGTACATATATGTATGTATGTATGTATTTTTATAATGATAGATTTTACTAATAATATAATTTAAATGAAAAATCGCTTAAAATGTGGCACTTCTATATATATTTATATTTGTATGTATACATATATCCGTATATAATTGCGCATATATTTTTTGTATTTCAAAATCCACACGTGGCTACATGCTTACAAACAGTTAAAAAAAAAAATATATATATATATATACACTTCTAAATCAAAACTTAATTATATATTTGTAAATAATTTCGTTTACAATTAAAGCCAGTACTAGGGTAACCCCGAAAAAGTGTCACCCGGCTTGACGAACTGACGAACGATACCGCACTTACATACGAGAATTGTTGCTTTAGTGTTGAGATATAAAAAATAGAATTAATTTTCTCCGAAAATTGCTTTTTTTGTTTCAAAATATTAAATAAATATACATTTTTAATATAGAAAAAAAATCAATTTAATTCATTTTTTATTTTATTTTTTTTTTATATAAAATTTTATTTTATTTTTTTAATTTTTTTTTTTTATATTTTATTTTATTATTTTTTGTTATTAATTTCGTTTAAATAAAATTATTATTTAATTTTTTTTTATATCTTATATGTACATGAAATTGTATATTATTACAACTTTTGTACTTGTCCGAAGTATTTGTGTACGAGAGGGAAAAAATTTAGTCGCATAAAAATGTATAACGATTTTTGTCTGTCCGCCTAGCAGCTATTTGTACGCAAACTAGTCCCATGATTTTTAAGATATTTCAACCAAAATTTTTACACTGCAGAGATGCACTGGCGCATTTAACTCTTCATTTGTAGAAACCGGCCATATGGGACCACTACCAATTTTCGAAGGTTTGAAATTTTGGATTCTAAATTTTTAAAAATCGAATAGCATCAAAGGGCAGGGAATCTGGTATTCTGCACACCTATGATGAATTACGGACGACTATAAGATATAGCTCCCATACGACGATTTTTTTCAAATACGAGGGTTTGCTCAAATCTCCATCAAAAAATTTGGAATTCTACACATATAAATATGCACAAGTAAACGCTGTAACTAAAAATAACCGAAATCGTAGGACTATATCATGGATTTGCTCGGATAAGAGAATTTTTAATCTAATTAAATTAATTAATTTTTAATCTAATTGTTAAAATCATAAGCAATAAATTTGATATGTTCATGAAAGGTATAATGGTTTAATTTAATTAATTTTATTTATTTATTTCATTTTATTTTGTTAATTTAATTTCATTTGATTTTCTTAGTTTTATTTCATTTGGTTTAATTTAATTTTAATTAAGGTTTTTAATTTAATTTTACTTACTTTGTATTATGCATTAAGTTCACAAATGAAGTAGTTTCATTTTATTTTTTGTTTTTTATTTAGTTAAATTTTTTTTAATTTATTCCACTTTATATTATTTGACTGCTTGATTTTAGTTTTTTTTTTTTTATTTATTACATTTTATATTATTTTCATTTTTCTAATTTAGTTTTATTTTTTATTTTGTTTCAAATTATTTGTTTTGATTTCAATTTGTGTTTATATAATTTATTTATTTTTTTTGTTTACTGATATTTTTAATTTCTTTATTTTTATTTAATTTATTTTTTATTTTATTTCACATTGTTCTAAATAGTTTTACTTTTAATTTTTTTTTGTTTTAATCATTTTTTATATTTCTTATTTTAGTTAAATTTGACTTAATCTATTTTGTTTTACTTTATTATTATTTTTTTCGTTTCTTTCATCTTTTTCGCTTGTGTATTGGCGTCGCTTTTAATGTCGATAAGCAATTGATATGACAAATTGGATTATCTACATACATATGTACATTTATACATTATTTTTAGCGTTGTTGATGAGAAATTAATCAGCGCTCGTTATTTCAACAGCGGCACGCTTGAGTAAATTTTTCAGTTTGGTTTTTGGTGGGTTATCGTTTTACTTAATGATATTAGCTAAAAATATTAAATAAAATAAAATAAAACTAATATGTTCCACATTTTTAAAGGTTTAAATAATTTTAATTTAAATATGCCTTACAACAATACATTGATCAACAACGGCTGTTAATTTGTGAAGCATTTAACACATAGCAAAAACATTAAGCGAATTTTCTATTGGGCAACAGTAAATGGGCTCTTTGGAGTGCCAAAAGTCATGCATTGAAATCCCGATAAATGGATGGTAACAAACAAAGCAAGCGCAGCAGCTGATCTCTGTACTACAATGAATATATTTATATATAAATATATATATATAGTAGTTATTTGTTGCGTGTAAAGACTCATCAAGCTGACAGTCTAACGTCTACGTTTAACTAACTGACCAACTAACTAACCAACCCGCATGCCGCATTCAACCAGTTTGTCAGGTATTTACCTACACACATACATATACACACACATACATACATGTGACGAAATCGGCAACGAGTAAGAGTGGCGTCAGCAACATTAAATAAAAATGTGTAAAAACAAAACGTGAAAACAAACGAGCTGCTTGCTCGCCAGTCTATCACACCGGTGCGCCGCGGCGTTGGTATGAATGGTGGGCAATATTTTTTTTAAAATGTCTAGATATTTTGTTTATAAATGTACATATTAATGTACGTATAACATTTATGTACTTTTTGTTGTATTAAGTAATGAATGCATGTATGTACATATACTTTTAGCATTGAAGTAAATAATAATAGGAAATTTTCGAGGAGTGGTTCCGATCACTTTGCGTGTAATTGTTGCTGCTGAACGTGAAAATTGCATGAGAAAAAAAGAAACAAATAAAAAAAATTAAGCAAAAATAAATTTAATAATAATATATTATTATATAGAGTTTAAGGTAAAAATGTATATATGAGCATACGTGGGCTACCTTTCAGATTTTCAATACATATTATTCTATTTTGTTTTATTTTATAATTTTCATATAGTTAAACTGTTAAGCGACATATATACATATAAGCTATAATTATCGACATTTTAGAAATTTTCTCTGTCAATACTAAAAACCTTTAAATTTATTTATGTAGCAGACCGTTGCACATGGCGCTATTTAATAACAAAAAAAAATTCAAAATCACGATCGCCAATAAGTCGCCATTAAATATCAACAGAAAACAAATATTGATATTTTAGTGCCGTTAAAATGCAACGCAACAAATGATTAATCACTACCACAATCAATTTTCTATGCATATACATTACATATCTTTGTCACACATACATATAAATATAATATAATGATACAAATAAAATAAACAGTCATTTTTCCATATTCAGTATGTATTGTATTATCGGTCATTGGCTGCCATAAAAGCATATAAACGGTAAAGTTGATCAAAAAAAAAGTGCAAAATAAATAAATAAATATAAAATATTAAAACGCAATACTTTGTTAAATACACTCAGGCATACGTATATGTATGTGTAAATATTGCTAGCTAGCGTTGACTAATAATAGCAGAAAACACATCATTACTTTTGATTGTATTTCTTAAGTTTTTATTTTTGTTTCATTGTAGATTTTTGTTTTTATTTTTTATTTTTTTATTATTATTATTTTCATTTTTTGAACACAAAAAAATTATTTTTGCTTGAAATATGTACATAAGTGTAAATGTTAACATAGTCGTTTGAATGTGTTCATTGTGTAGAATATGTATATGCATCTGTATGTCAGGTTTCTTTATTTGCAATGCAATATTGGAAAATCTTAAAACGCATTTTTTGTTAAACATTAGCATTCGCATAAGAAAAGCGAGGCTAAAAAAGTTGACTGCGCAATAAAATTCGCAAAGATTGATAAAAGAAAGAAAACGAAATATTATGAAATCAAATAGAATAAAATACAACAAAAAATTTAAAAATTACAATAACAGACAAAGCAATAGTAATCAAATAAAATTAAAATAATATTAAATTAAATAACGTTAAAGGTAAAATTAAAAAAAAATTTATTTAAAAGTAATATTAAAATTAAATTCTAATGCAAATTAAAATTACGTTTAAAATTTAAATTGTAATTAAAATCAAAATTTCAAATAATATTTAAATTTAAAACTTAAGTTAATATATAAAAAAGTAAAATAAAATAAAACGAAAATAAAAGTTAAATTAAACAAAAAATAAAAACTAAATAAAAGTTAAGATTAAAATTAAGAAACCATAAATTGAAATAAACTTAAGGATAAAACTAAAAATTAAATTAAAATAACATTAAATAAATTACAAGAATTAAAATTAAGTATAAAACTAATTAAAAATAGAATTTTGAATTTAAATAAAGAAAATAATTAAGCTCACTAAAAATTAAAACAAGTTTACTACTAAAAATTTCAAATATGATTCAAGTTA